ACAATAGCCAGGACATGGAAGCAACCTAAGTGTCCATTGACAGATGAATGGATAAAGAAGATGCGGCACATATATACAATGGAATATTACTCACCATAAAAAGGAACGAAATTGAGTTATTTGTAGTGAGGTGGATGGACCTAGAGTCTGTCATACAGAGTGAAGCAAGTCAGAAAGAGAGAAACAAATACTGTATGCTAATGCACATATATGGAATCTTAAAAAACGGTACTGATGAACCTGGTTGCAGGGCAGGAATAAAGACGGAGAGGTAGAGAATGGACTTTAGGACACGGGGAGGGGGAAGGGTAAGCTGGGATGAAGTGAGAGAGTAGCATCGACATACATACACTACCAAATGTAAAATGGATGGCTAGTGGGAAGCAGCTGCATAACACAGGGAGATCAGCTCGGTGCTTTGTGATGACCTAGAGGGGTGGGATAGGGAGGGTGGGAGAGAGGCTCAAGAGGGAGGGGATATGGGGACATATGTATACTTATAGCTGATTCACTTTGTTGTGCAACAAAAACTAACACAACACTGTAAAGCAATTATACTCCAACAAAGATATAAAAAAAAAAGAACATTATGCTAAATGAAATAAGCCACTCACACACAAAAAAGGAAATACTGTATGATTCCACTTATATGAGGTACTCAGAGCAGTATGAATAGAGCAGTCATACGCATGGACATAGACGGTAGAATAATGGCCCAGGGGTTGGGGATAAAGGAGAATGGGAAGCTATTTAATGGGCACAGAGTTTCAGTTTTGCAAGATGAAGGGTTGTGGAGATGGGCTGTAGTGATGGTTGCACAACAATACGAACGTATTTAATACCACTGAACTGTGCACTTAAAAATGATTAAGACTGTAAATTTTAAGTTTTGTATATTTTACCACAATAACAATTTAGAAAAAAGTTTTAATAAAATTGTACTGCATTCAGTACTAGGGAAAAGAGATGAATGAACTCACACTGCAATACAGAAGACAAAATGTAATCAGATAAAAATGGAGTCTGCTAGGTTTTTTATGTGGTCTGCGGAAAGTGCTAGTGTGGCATGGAAGCAGAGATATGGGAGTGAATAGCATTGTCCACTGGGAATGGAAATTGTGGTGGGTGGGAAACGAGATAGTGGTATCTTCAAAAGCTTCATAGAAGAGTTGTTATTTGAGATGGCCTTGAAAGGAGAATAAGAGTTTAGAAAGATAGCAGAGAAGGTATTCCAAGCAGAGGAACAGAGTTATTGAAAGAATGGAACATTAGTAAATTGAGAAAAGTTCTGTCTGGTTGAAACCTAGGACCAGTGGAGGAGAGTGGTAGGAGATGATGTTAATGGAATAGCTATGAGGAGACAACACTGCCCACCACCTTAGAGGGTGTGGACTTCATTCTAAATCAATGGTCTTAACCAGAAATGGGCATCAGGATCACTTTTAGAGCTGACACACATAAATATACCAATATTTATCACTGCAGACTTGGTTTTGTTTGTATAGAGTGGAGTCTGGGCTTCTTCACACTGTCAAGGTTCCACAGTGATTCAGAGAGGCTCCCAGAATCTCCACTATAAGTAATAAGACATTATTAAAGGTTTTATTATTAAGATGAGAGACGTTACTTAGCTCTGACGGCAATATGACAGATGACCTGGAGAGGGTGGGACTTGCCAGTAAGCATACAAGGTAGAAAATTCCTAAAGTGCTGAGAGCTAAGGTTCTTAAAGAGCTCATGACAGTCTGAATTTAGACAATGGCAGTAGGGACAAAGGCCTTCAGAAAGTTAAAACTACTGGACTTGGTGGTCAGTGAGATGTAATGGGTAAAGAGAGAGAAATCGAAATTAGAGCTCAGATTTCCACATCAGACAACTGGGTGCAGGTGGATCCACTAACTGAGATAGTAAATATTGGCATAGGTACTAACTACAACATCTGGCAGATTGTCAAAGAGTAGGTGCTCAATAACTGTTGAATGAATGAAAAATCCCTAGTAAACCAATGATTATACAGTTGTGGATGAAAACATGACTAAGAGTTGGTTTATGGATAAGCTTTGTGGGGTTTTGACAAATCTAGATATCCGGGGGAGGTGGAGTGGAAGGTTGTGAAAAAGAAATGCAAAACAGAGGGTACCATCAAAACACAAAACCCACAAAGGTTGGAAAGTTTAGGCTCGGTTCCAAAAACAGTGAATGGTTCAATTTGGCTTTAGAATAGTGAGAAATGAGACTGTAAAAATATAGGGACTCCATGATGTCATGTGTCTGAAAGTCAGTCTGAGGAAGTTTTAATTAATTAAGGAGGTGATGGTAAGTCATGGGTTTTGGGCAGGAGTCTTCCATGATCTTTAGGATCATGTTCTTTTGGGAGACTCTTATAGCAGCAGTGGGATAGGATGGATTGGGATGGGAAGAAATCTAAGGGGGAAAAGATCAGTTAGAAGGCTATTATAAAGGAAGAAGCAAAAGATAAGAAGAAGCTGAGCCATGACGGTCACGTGATTTCTCAGGCAGGAGCAGATTCAAAGGATAGTCAGGAAAAAATTAATATGCAAGATCAGGCCCCAGAATAGGATGGATGGAAGTTAGAGTTGGATACAAGGTGGAACCTGGATGGCAAAGCATTGTGGTCTCAGTGAACAGCAAAAATTGAAGTCAGGAAGGTGAGCAGTTTCAGGTGAAGACAATTGATTCTGAGATGTCAGCAGGATGTCCAGGTGTATAAATATTTCAGATACCAGGAAATGCAACATTGCACTTCACAAGACAGACTGGGGCCCGATAGTTAAACTTGGGAGCCATCTGGTACAAGTGATAAATGATGTGTACAAGTGGATAAGATGGCCAAGGAAACAGAATAAGCCCAAGAAAAAAGCCATGAGAGGATGCTTACCCTTTGCTGGGTGAGGGAGGGAGTGAAAGCTAGGAAGTAGAAAGAGGAGCGGTCTGAGAGACACAAGAATAATCTGGGAAATGTGCCTCTAAGACAACGGGAAACAGAATTTCAAAGGAAAGAGTGGGTAAATAGAGTCAAATAGAGAATTGGAGGAGGTAGGGGAGAAGTGAGATAGGGCAGATGGTCTCCTGACAGGTGAGAGAGCCTGGGTGGGGTTGCAGAGGGAAGGCGTGGAGGAGGGTATGAGGAAGCTGCACTTTTCCACAGTGTTTCTGATGCGAGAGTCAGAGGTACTGCTAGGATGGCTCTTGGCACTGTTACCATTTGGTTTCAAAGAACTCAACAGATCCATCTCTTCTCAGTCGTCATATAACTTTCATTGGAACAACGGGCCAGAGCTATGGGTGCAAACAGATTTAGGAACCCTGATGTCTGAAATCTAATTCATGAACACTCCTGGGTCTTATCATTTCCAGAGAGGAAATAGTCAAAGTTAAAATGACCATTTTGTATGACAATATGTGTACCAGAGCTATGTGTGGCAATTAACTGGATAGCACCATGGTATTCATTGAACCAACCTTTTTGTTACTAATTTGAAATGCTACTTTTATCATAAACCAAATCCCATATGGCTTTGTGTCTATATCTGGACTCTCTATTTCATTCCATTCTATACCAAACCTCCTGGTATTTGATTGGGATTGCCTTGAGTTTATGAATTTATTTGTGAAGAACTGGCATTTCTTACAATATTCAGTCTACTGAAAAGAGGGGTACTTAAGCCTTCTTCTATGCCCCTCAGTTGAAGATAATTATTTTTTCATGGAGGTCCTAAGCTTGTCTTTTTCAGTTTACAGCTATATATTTCCCTTTTGAATTGCTATTTTTAGTGGTATTATTACAATTTTTTTGTATTGTAAGTGTGTGTGTGTGTGTGTGTGTGTAAATAAGAAAGATGTAGGTGCATTTTCAGATAAGCAAAAAAATTTTAAAGAAACAATCTAAGGCAAACTGAAATTTTTAATAGCATCTGACCTTCACTGAGCTGATACACATATTAAAAAATCATTTTGGATAATACTATCATGTAAAACAGGAAAAAAAATGTTTATTTTACCTGTGTATTGCTAACTTTTCCTTCAATAAGACAAGCCATGACTGTATTTGGAGTTAAAATGTGGTGTCTGTTTAGTCCTGGTCCTACCAGTGAGCTCACTTTCCTCCTAATACCACACAAAGCGCAACTAGGCTCTGGCTCTTTCCCTAGAAAAGTAGCCCTGTTCCGCCCTGCTGCTTTAATTCATGACCATGACCATGACCATCCGCTTTTCAGTGTCTCCTCCTGAGGTGCTGGCTGAAGGAGCTGCAGCCACAGCAGTCAACCCCCCATAGCAAATCACACAGACAGGTGTTTTCACATGGTTTGATGTAGCTGGGAGTCAAGAAAGGTTGCAGTTTTTTCTTTTTCTTCATCCCAGTCCTTTGGAACTTTTCAATTTGAAGAAAAACTGGAAACTATCTAACAAATCCAGATAAGGGGTCAGCAAACTTTTACTGTAAACAGCCAGACAGAAGATGTTTTAGGCTTGTGGGCTCTATGGTCTCTGTTGCAGCTACTTAACTCTGCTGTTGTACCATGAAAGTAGTCATAGACAATAAGTAAGTGAACCTGGCTGTGTTCTAATAAAACTTTATTTATAAAACAAGTGGTGAGCCAGTTGTGGCTCATAGTTCAAATTTGGCCTATGGTTCATGGTTTCCAGATTCCTATTTTAGACCAGTATGCTTCCAGACCATTCATTATTTGTACTTCAAAAAATCAAAAGCAATGTACTTGTCCCCATGGAATTAAAGATCACAGGATGCAAAGCACTGGAGTGAACAAAATAGAGCAAAATCATCAAAATGATTTCTTATCAATCCTTAAATGGGTCTGAGCATAGCTAGCCCTTATTTGCTTTATGAAACACAAGTGGGATCACAGTATATAAAAATACACATATTACATTGTGGTGTGATCACTGCTTTGAGGAGGGAGAGAGAGCTGAGTGAAAAAAAGTCATTATTAGTAATGCGAACATTTGCTCTTACTTACCAATCCTGTACTGCATTGAAGGATTCTTCATTTGTGATGTCATACATTAAAATAAAGCCCATGGCTCCACGATAATAGGCTGTGGTGATAGTCCTGTATCTTTCCTGGCCTGCTGTGTCCTACAAAATAAAAATAATAATCTGTCAAAAAATGAGGCAATACACCTTCTGGGAAGTGATTAGTTATTCCCAAAATAGTCATAACAGAGAATCTAAATTGTATTTACAATGTATAGCTATATATGTTTTTCAGTCTTGTTTTTCCTAATGATTTTCATATGGCCGCTCTGCAGTATTATGAGCAAATCTTTTTTTTTGGGGGGGTGTAAAGAACTAGCTCAGAGTACCTTCTACATATGTTCATTCCCATTAAGGAGCATTTAACTATAGAAAAGAAAATAAGAAGAAAGATCATACATATCAAAATCTGTGGCTTTTGTAGAGTTTAAAACCAGAAGAGTACATTAGCTCCATCATTATGTATTTACTGTCTATCTGCTAAGTACAAGCCTCTGTGGGGAAAAAAAGAGAAAAGGACCTTTTATGAAAAGGTCCCTGCATTTAAAAGCATGCAGTGTAGTTTCCAGTTATTCAATGGTAAAATGACAATTAAAATACCTACTTTGTGTGGGTGTTTGAGTCGGACAGATCTGGAGTTCCCACTCTCCCATTAGAGAGCTTGGGGGGACATGCACAAGCTGCTGAGCCTCTATTAACTTAAACCCCCTAAAGTCTAGCATGCCTGTTAGGGTGACATGAAATAATGCATGGAAAGTGCTTCACTGAGCCTGACACACAAAAAGTGGCCAATAAATGGTAAGAACTGGCTGTTATTCCTGAAATTTGGGAAGGCAAGGCTAACACAGGATGGTAGATGGCAGCTTACAAATGCAGGGGCTCAGGGCCTGCAAAATAGTCTCATGCAGCAGTGAAATCTGAGAATCAGAGGCAGCTACATCACTGAAATGACCTATATAGGTCACAGGTACTGCACGATGTAGTTGAAGAAATTGTTCCTCAATTCAACTAACTCTTGCTCCTTTGTCTTCTCAGGATCTGGGGGTATAACTTATAACCCAATGCTCCTTGGCTTCCCCTTTCACCACTTTCCCAGGGGATTGGGCTCTGATTTCTCTGTCCTAGTATTCTAGGTGCTTAGCATTTTGGACAGAAATGTCACCTTCTTTCTGACTTCGGTCTGGGTCCTCTTTCTTCCCTTCTCCCAGAGATGCCTCTTTTGTATACAAAGTGCGTTCCAGTTCCCCCTAAGGCAATATTAATAGGTCCTGAAGGGAAAGCTAATGTGTTGGATGATTCAAGAAGAAGTTCCTTTAGCATCAAAATGAAGTGAACAAAGCACTGAGCTGATCTCCCTGTGCTTTGCGGCTGCTTCCCACTAGCTATCTATTTGACGTTTGGTAGTGTATATATGTCCATGCCACTCTCTCGTTTTGTTACAGCTTACCCTTCCCCCTCCCCATATCCTCAAGTCCATTCTCTAGTAGGTCAGACGCAAGAGGGGAGAGATATGGGAACATGTGTATATGTATAACTGATTCACTTTGTTATAAAGCAGAAACTAACACACCATTGTACAGCAATTATACTCCAATAAAGATGTAAAAAAATAAAATAAAATAAAATAAAATAAAAGCTTAAAAAACAATGAAGTGAACATCTCCTGGGTCTCACTCTTAGAACAGGCTCATGTTGGACACACTGTTCCTCACCTGTAGGTACCCTCCTGCTCAGATGCTTGCACTCCACATCGGACTAACAGGAAACTCAAGAATGCTCACAATTTTCTCCTAATTTGTGTGGTTTATTCTATTTGGCCCCTGAAAATTCAGAGAATGGTAGCCAAAGAAGGCTGAGGAAATCAGCAAATGATTCCAGGAGGATGTGGGCGTGTGAAATAAAACTTGAAAATTAGCAAAGAGTGTGACTGTTCATGAGCAACAATTCTACTCTACACTTGGAGCAGGGATAAGGCTGGCCTGATTAGAGGTGTTTATTAGGTAATATTATTGAAATAAGTTTCCAAAGGTAAGACAAAAACAGGTTATGGTACCCAAAATAACAAAAAATGAAGCAAAACAAACGAGGAAGGTCTTTCAGAACATACCACTAATTGGCAGAAAATAAAAAGGAAAGTCTAGATTTCACCACGTGAAAATGTGACCATTCCTTGAATATAAAAAAAATGCTATGAAGAAAATTGAAATGATATATAATCAAATGATATTTGAATATTTTACTGTACTTTGCTTAGTATTTTATAAATATGAAGGTATAGATATTAGAGATAAATTTAGAAATCAAAAACTGCATGTAATTGGGACAATCATACAAATTTATTAGAAAGAAGACAATCTTGAGCTTATTTGGATATTTTTGGATATTCGTTGGATATAATTCCATTAACAGTATATCCAACTGTGAAATGAAGGAGAAAGTTAGAGAACCAAATGCTCAAAGACTGTGTTTAAAAAGCAAGGTATAATTAGAGATTGTGTAATATATTTTAGCTCCTGGGGAATAGAACCCCTTATAACTAGTCATTCTATTTTAAAACTTAGGCACTTTTGTCTTGGGTTCATATTTTTCAGAATACATTATCTATAAAATTACCACTTTTTTTCCTACTGTGAAGTAATTTTAAATAGCTTTCTTTATCTCTTGGTAAAATATCTTTTTGACATTGACCAAGTAGCCTTCTTACAGGTTAGGGACCCACTTCCTGCTGCTTTCTCTATACAAAAGACAGCTTTTCCCCAATTTCTCAATAGGAGAAAACAGCCAATATGCCTGAGGCACTGCTAAAAGGTGACCCAGACTCTTCCTGTCAAGCATGTCTTCAATACAGACACTAAATAATGTTTTGTTGAAAAACTATGACATTTTCTCTCTCTTCTTGACCTCTTCCAGTGATGGCTTCCTCTTTCATAGATGTTAATTTTATTTTGACAGTAAAGAAACTAGATCTAGTGTTATAAAACATATCAATTTCACACTGGAAGTGTATTTAATCTTCAAGGGAGCAGAAATCAAGGTCCCGTTACATTATGATTGAGATGTTACAGGAAACCACGGGGTTGGATAGCCATTATGTATCAAAATTTTAAAACAGAGAGAGGGGGACAAAAACAGCTTTTAAGAAAAAGAAAAAAAAAAGAAGCTTTCAGACAGCACTTAAGTCACAGCAAGGGGCAGGACCTTCCACAGGATTCTGACTTGAACTCAGAAACACAATCTAATTGAAGGTAGTTGTCACCTCAGAGCTCTCAGGGAGAATAAGATATTGCACCAAGTAGGGGAAGTGTAGTAAGAAATACAGAGAGGAAATTTCCTTTCCAAATGCAAATAAAATAAAAAGAGTAAAACTAAGCTAATAGACACTAGTTGGCTCTGCATTGGTTTTGAGTACTGAAAACAATTTTAAGATTACAAACTCATTAGCCTTTTCTCTCCCATTATATTAGGAAGAAAAAGGAGTCAGAAAAAATACCTCATTACATTTGACATTTAGTAATAATGATAGAAGGTTATATTGGAAAGAAAAGAACATTTATAATGTCAAGTGCCACTAACGTAATTAAATGTGAGAATCTCAATAGGTAACTGACTAAAATGGTACTTCTCAATCTGCTCAGGAAAATGGCTCTAAACTCTGGTTTTGCCTTGCTGCTCTGCCCAGTTGGTTCTAATAACTGGAGATACCTGCTGGTTTTCTATAAATGTAGGCTTCTGGTGATTGAAAAACACAACAGGAAATATTTCACAAAAAAAAGGGATAAAAATATGATTTAAAAATGAAAGCTTTCTTCCAAGAGAGTTAGCTTTCATTTTTCTCTCTTTTAAGAAAAAATAAAATCATCTTAGCTGGCTTAAATATTTTGACTTCTCAGTCATGTTTCTAGGAGGAATTTTTGGCTTAAATGATAGGTTTGATTAGCAAATACTTGAATATCTGTCAAAAAAGAGCTCTAAAATGGAAAACTTTCGCAGTTTGATAAGTAGTAGCTAGGAACATTTTCAGTTTGAATTTTGGCATTTTTGTCTGTTTTTGCCTTATGTTTTCTTTCTCTGGTGAAACATTTTATTTTTTTTAACTGCATGTAGTGCATTCTCAAACACTTCTGAGGTCACACAGAGATAATGTGCAGTTTTAGGATTGAGGAAATAGCTTTCATTTGTAAAATCTGGGTTATATTGTAATTTGTTTTTGTTTTGGTGGTTACTTCTCTCTGTATTGGATTAAAGGGAAAATGGAAGTAACCATTAGTAAAGAAACATAACTCAAATAATATCACTACCATCAAAATACATTTATTGAATGTCTAGACAGAGAAAAATAGATTGAAGGACAGACAATCCTGATACATGAAAAAGTAGGTAATTTTATAGATGGAGAAATCAAACCAAAACACATTGGTGTTAACTGATCAACAAAGGTAATTTAATTAAGCTAAAGGAAATAATATGTAATAATCCAAAGAGGAAATCAACAGCAATGTAGGATGAGAACACTGCAACATAAGACAAAAAACACATTTTATCTAGTGAACTTCTAAATAGACACAAATATGTGAAATGGAATAAACAGTCGTTTAGCATTCAAGCAAGTAGCAATCTTTTAACTTGTACCTTCCTACCTTCTACCTGTAGGAATTATTTTGAATCATCAAAGGAAGATTAAATTATACTCAATATAATTTAATATTAATGCTGATTGGTTGATTGATTCATTCATTCAATAAACAATAAGTGAACACCTATTACCAGTTACAGACTGTGACAGATATTAATTAAATTTATTTTATGTATTCTAGATGTATTTTTGTATATTTAAAAACTCTATACTTTAAAAGCATTTCATTAATCAGGATATCATATTCCTCACATGTCTACAAAATATTAGACATGAAATATCATTTCTAAAGAACCAGACAGCATAGCAGTTTAAAATTGTAACTGAGACCATCTGCTCAGTGGTGAGGTTCTCCAATTCATAGTCACAGTTATGGGTTGTACTGTGTTCCCCCCCCACCAAAATATGTGAAGTCCTAACCCTAGAACCTGTGAATGTAACCTTATTTGGAAATAGGGTCTTGGCAGAT